ATGATATATATGCTTCATATAAACTGCAATGGAAATCTCTATTTCTGTTAATGTTACCGGTTTGAGGCAATAAGAAAAATCCAAATCCGCAATAAACAATGATCTCCTCCGTTTTACCCCCATTTATGTTTTTAATCGCTTTCCCTTCAACGCGTGGTGTGATTTCTCACCGCAGTATCAGCATGGGAAGAATATAACCGAGAAGCCTTATCACACGGTAGCTCAAGCATCCCCGTATTTCAGCAAGGACCTGCACCAACTGACACACACACATAAATATATAGCTACATATGCAGTATATACCTTGCATTATCACATAATAAAAATGGTAGTGGTACACTGGCTTGTTACCAATTGTCTTGAGGCAAGAGCAGTAGGCCTTTGTTTTTCTTTTCATACGGAGGCTTTAGTTCAACACCAAGACGTAGATGTGAGCAAGGAATCAACTGCTGGGGAACTTTTGGGATGGATCGAGCAAAACCACAAGATTGGCACCTGTGATATGCGTGAACACATAATAGCACTCTGTTGATTAATCATGCCCCTGACTTCCAATGTGTGTTGGATTTGTTTTTTCCCTCAACACCATAAAGGGGGGGTTTTGTTGTGATTATTAGTAGAGAGGAATACTTATATAGCAATGATGGAGATGTATTGATCCTCCAACAACAGCCCACATGCTAAATCTCCATCGTGACAGCTGTGATTGAACACCGTACACATATTTGCCTGTGGGTTTTCTATGTGATGACTAAATCTGTGCCGATGGTCAGCGATTAGTGAAGAGTAGAAATGTGAACATAACGTTTTTTGCTGTTGACAGCCTTCTCATATACAAATTCATTATTCTTCAGAGGGTTAATACCTACACTGAATTAAATTGATCTGTTGAAAATGTAGCTTGATGCCAGGCATTTGTCCCCTGCTGTGTCCATCTATTAATTCACTTGTCACATGTGTAAAATACAAATAGATAAAAAACCTTCAGTGGGCTGTTTACAATGTGCTTGCTGGGACTTTAATGTATTAAGTAGAAATAAGTCGTCAGATTCTTCCTTCACCTTTACACAGTATAAAAGAATAAGAGGGATCTTTTAGCACATTTGGAGTATGATACAGTACTTGTTTAAGAATCAACACATGAGATGTGCATCAAGTATGTCAATGGCAAACTTCATCCAAAAAATTAAGCCATGCAGCTGAAGGACATGCATGACATGCATGTAGATGTCCCGCCCAGAAGAAGAGGAATTGACGGCACAGCAGCGAGACCTTCATGCCCAAATGAGACCAAAGCCTAAATTTTCTTTTTTCAGAAAAGCAAAAGCTCTTGTTTTGCTGTAAAGTTCATACATTCTTAATTACTGACTTGATTTTTGTTGCAAGACATTTGCTCTGTGTTTGCATAATAAAGACACAAATATACCTTCATACAGAACCCTTCACTACTTCTACAGGGGTTTATGAACTTAATGGATCTGCTTAATCTCATTTCCTTTTTCATTATTAATCTGTTCCTCGACAGCTGTTATCCAGAGGGGAAATCTGTTTCAAATTAATTATTTGATGTTGGCCACGCTGTTCATACTGCTAGCTGGACAGATAAAACCTCTCCAACGTGCCTCGTGCAGGAATTTCGCAACCAACTTCAAAAAAGAAGAATTAAAAATGAGAAAAATTCACAAAAATAAGAACTTTTGTGCTAAACATGGACTACCTGGCACATGATGCACACACAGCACTGACTAAAACTACAGCTGCGTACAAGCTGTTTCGGTAAAGCGGTAAATCCCCGTTAGATGAGGTGTAATGAGGGAGTGCTGGGCTCTGATCCCTTCCCGCCCCGGGCTTAATATGGTAATACCTGCCCCCACTACACCCCGGCCGTGGGCCGAGAACACGACCAGGATTTACTCTCTTTATTACGGAACATTACATTTCAATGGATATTTGGGTGGGTGAGTAGTACAAGCAGGTGAGTGTCAGGACCGGCAATCACTCGGGGTGATGCTGGGTGACAGTGACGTACGATGGAGAATAGAGGGGGTGCAGGTAGAGAAAGAAAGAGAGAGAGTAATCATTTGCTTGGTGATGATGAGGTGCCAGCTGGCCAGAGTTGAGAAAAGAAATGTGTGCAATATGCAGTATGATCACTTCCATTGTGTCTAATTACTTTACCTTCACTGAAGTAGTTGCTCGGATCCAGGAACACGTCACGATGAAGTGGGGATACCCAAAATGTTGACAATGAGTTATCAACGGCTAACAAATACTGAAAACATAAGTGTGTTCGATGAGAGCGGTGACAGTAAAACCTAAACTGTGAGTTAAGTGACTAAAATGCTCCATTGAGATAAATATTGATTACAGAAGCTTTTGCTGCATGTTTGTGAGTTTTACTGAATGATTACCAAAACTGCAAAAAAAATGATATCCACGTTGTAATAAAGCAAAGAACATTTAAAAGGCATCAGTCTTTTCATTTGAGGGATAAGAGGAATTCAAACTAGCTCAAGTTAGTCCACCACGGAAGTGTTAACAAGCAGTCACATCATATGATCATTATGGCTGTTTAATGGGGCGATACATTTGTAAGTGTATTCATAGAACCAATTATGACTCTACAGTGCAGGCTGCAGATGTACAGCAACCATAAAGATAAGAGGAAAACCCAATGAAAAATCTAATGTTTGATTAATGTGTGCAACGTCAACATGAGAAATGTTCTGCTAAAGTACTCCGCTGTTGTCAGTATGGTTGACCACTTTGTATGAATCATAGTGAAAAGTAAATAAAGAATGTTACTCTTTTCATTATGTGATTCAGTCGTGCTTTAAACACCCTCATGGCTGCATATAAAAATGAGTTATGGTTCAGCAGGAGAGACAACAGCATTACGAGGCAGCTATTTGAATAAACTATAATGCAACGCAATGGATTTTTTGTGACAGGGAAGCGTGCCTTCTCTTTGAGGTTTACAATGCAAATCTGACAAGCAGCTTGACACTAAGGGCTGCTAGGCGCACTGCTGTTTATTTCTGGATTGAGGAAAGATTTCAGGATTCTTTATCTCCTGTGACTGTTTCATACAAATATCCCTTGTAAACATGTGAGTCCGCTGACAGAGGAGATAAGTTAGTAGTATTTGTCGTCCTATCGTTGGTTCAGAGGCCCAGTCATCCAGGCCTGCAGCCTCTCTGCTCATTCTCAATGGTGAGGAAGGATGTGCCCCACTTCCTAAAGCTCCACCCCGCGCCATGCTCTGCAGAGCAAAGAGGAGAACACAGGGCTGAGACGCTCTTTATGGGATAAACCTGAGGGTAGGACCAGCATGGACAGTCTCTATCAGAAATCATGGCTGTTTATAAGGTTGGTTGTGCCTTAACCTGAGTGACTTCAGGTTTGGCTGGTTTGATTTGCATTCGGTGCACTCGATGAAGAGAAACCAGCACAAATAAAACTAAATTCCCCGAATCAAAGTTCCTCCATCAATCCAATGATTAAAGAGTCATTGCTCTGCTGTATCACCTCAAAACGTACAGGATCAATGGGAGGTTTTGAGATTTTGATGGAAAAGGAAAATCTCATTCCCCGCGCCGCAGCCTCTGTCAAGAGCACGGATGAGAAATGGACCCTTGGGTTATGGCTCCACTCATTTCTACCCTGAGGTGACATTAGAGTGGTACTTGATGTGAGCATGGGGGTATTTGGGCTGACAGAGTGCTGCTGGCCTAGTGTACTTTTACTTTGTGCTTGTGCTAAATGCTAAAACACATTTTAGGAAAAAAAGGGAGCTTGCTGTTTGATATTTGCCATCTCTGTCGCGCTGCCTTGATGCAAAAATGTAACCTTGAGGAGGATGTTGTCTGCCACTTCATATCTAGGTGTGTTTTGGGTGGCTGCTGACAAACTGGATGTTGTCTTCACAATAAACAATGTCTCTTTTTAGAAAGGAGGGGACAATAGTGATAGAGGAACAGTAGGAATGGTCGAGCAGGAAGCATGCCGAGGAGGACAGGAAATAGGAAGCGCAAGCAGGAATAAACGTTGTTGAAATAGCCGCGGGGAAATTTCCGTTCACTGTCTTCAGGTTCCCCTGCGAGTCATTCCTCTGCTGTCCTTGAACGACACAGAGAGAGAGCCTCTCCCAAAGTCGGCCGATCTGATAGGCGGAGCATATCAAGGTCGATATTAACACTACAGTGATACAAGCCAGCAGAATGGAGACGTGGGGTCGTCCAATTATTGGTCTTGTGACATTTGAGCGGCTCAAGCAGTATGTGGACATAAGTCTAAGAGACAGAAGCATGAGAAAACAACACTGCTATCAGTCCGCTGTAGAGAATGGGACTGGACCGACAAACTGGTGGATATTCAAAAAAAGGTGCAGCTAAAGAAAGTAAAAAATTCATGCTATTTCTTGCCAGGAATTTGATTAGAAGGTTGAAACCACTGACATATCTGCACTCTAAACACAAAGGTGCTTCCGGCAGGTGGTTAGCTTAGCTTAGCGTGACAAAACTTACCTGTATTTTCCTGCCTTGTCTCTGTCTCACCAGAAACGTTATTTCTTTAGTTTACCCTATTTATTTGCCAGGGTTTATTTTAGGTTGTTGGAACTAATATCAGTGCACATATAAAATGAAGATACATCAAAGTGCTTTTTTCATATATTCAAATGTCCTTCTCCGTGAAACAATATTCACTAAGCAATGGACATGTTTTTACGTGAAATATAACCGCAGTGTTTGGGTCAAACTGTAACCTTTAATACACACTATTCAATGCAGAGGCTGCATTAGATGAACACACTGAGTTACACCATCTTCTGTGTGTGGGGAGTAACCAGGTGATGGACACATTCTTTTCAGGAATCAGGAACATTTATTGCCAAAATATGTTATATATATATTACGAGGAACATGAGAATAATTTGACATGGCGGTTGATGCATAACATCAGACAGTAAGATAATAGACAACAAGACAGATGAGACAACATAGTGCAAGTAAATGTTTAATTTACAAATTTACAATAACAGATTCTAGAATAGACAATTTAAAAGTAAAAGATATGGATTTTGTGCAGGGAGAAGAGCCGAGGGGAAAGAATGCAGCCTTGATTATTAATGTCTAAATCATCTTCAACCATTGAAGGCAAAAAATAAAAGAAGGGCAAGTTCTCCACCCCTTTGGCAGGAAGTGTCGGGCACAAATCGTCAGTGGGGCTCTGCCACACCCCTCCTGCAAAGAAGATGGATTTGTGTTGTAGTGATGTTGCAACAACCCTCCGTAACATCTGGTCCGGCCTCTTCACTTAAGCGGCATGTGACATTTGCGGTTATAATAAACTTGGAATAAACACATTTTACAATGAATTTAAACCACTCAGCTTTGTGGTCTCTTAGTCAAACGAAAGGGATCGAGACAAACCAAAACCCACAGCCCCAAACCATGAAGCACATGGTTGCATTTCTGCATGAGACTTATTTATCGCTCTTCTTGGCAATAGGGAAACAAATACAGTCCAGGCAATTTCCTTTAAAGGTAGGCACATCCATCACATCTTAAATAATTTAATAAATACCCCACATGCTATAGGTCCTGCGTTAATAGAAAAAAAGTGAACAGAGTGAAATTTCTTCCCCCTGCAGGTTCAGACAGATGTGGGAAGCCTTTAGGTGCAAACCGTGACAAAACATAATGTAATAACATATGAGGATAAGAGACGAGGATGTGCTCAAACACACATACATTGGTGTCATATAGCAATGCAACACTGTTTAGTTGAGTGTATATGGAGTCTAATTGAATTTTGAGCAGTGGCTATAAATCACTGCAGCCCTAATCAAAGCACTACAACAGAGAAAGTCATCAATCACTTACTTCTGCACAACGCAACATCGGCCGGTAGCGTCTCCTTGTCTTCTGGCCGGGAAGCTCCGCTCTGCGCCTAACACGCCGCACATTGCTGACACATTATCATTAGCACAATCAACACCACTTTGGACGTCCTGACAGAGAGCCGTCAGATGGCAAATGGATATAGAGATATATGAGGCTGTTAATCTGACAAACTCTGATGACCATGTCGATGCATGCCAAACGAAAAAAGGTTTTCTCAGAGGATGGAAGGCTGGATGAGCAACAACAACAGCTCCTTTGAGGTTCTGCGTCTGAGCGAGGTGTCACACTGCAATGAAGCGTTTCAAGTAATGGTTTATTTACCTCTGGACTCGTCAATCTCTGCGTGGACAAGCAAACTGTAGTTGGCTATGACGGATGGCAGAAAGCTGGGTCACCTCAAAGGCACGGCGGTGACATTCAGAGTGCCTGCTTGAGGTGGCGGAATGACAGATGGCATTTCAATGGAATCTGTAAAAATGTGTCAGCAATGGGGGATATTGTGACTTCTACCCTCATTCTGCCCTACTTTCGATTCAACACTTGATGGTTTAAAGACCTTTGAAATAATGCTTCAGGCAAAACCAATAAAGGAGAAATAGTTTGAAACTGAAATTTTCTGGGCACAATCAGACCTGCCGAAGTGCCCTTGAGTAATACTCCCAGAGCGATCCTCTTCATTTGATATATAACTGATATATTTTAGTGTCTTGATGAAATTTCATTTAATTTCCCTTTTGTTTAAAAAAAGAGCATATGTTAAAATGAAAGAGGACAAGACAGACGGAAGAAATAGAAAGTGAGAGAGAGGATGGCTGAGATGCCAGGCAGTCAGCTATGAAGGACATGGCCGCAGCAGTTATTTTTAGTTATCAGTTTTCGGAGCCTCTCAATCGGAACATCTCATTAAAAACCTGAAAAAAACCTTGATAATCCATCGAACCAGAAAGACTGTGGAAAGTAAAGCTTTATACTACCAGCCTGCTCCTACACAGAGGAAAACCCCCACACAGGATCCATAGCATTCCCAAATAATTTCAGAGCACCACTATGCAACCAGTGCATACATTCGGGTGACATTCGGTGACCTCTGCAAAAAGGTATCTCATTTATTTCCCATGATATCAGAGGAGTCGCAGACAGATGGAGGAATTAAGTTCATGTGCCCACATGGATGTCTCTTAAAATGCAAAGAAGCCTGTCCAAGGTGTATTAATCATTATATAATGAGAGATTGAACACCAAGATTCATTAGACCAATGTGGACACCGTAAATCAGATACGTGAGGGGGATGCACTCACTGGTCATTAAACCTAATAATAGGATCGAAATTTCATGTCTTATTGATGCTGTGCCTCATGCAGGCTTTCACAATAAATAAATCCAAAGCAATAAATCTGTGATAAAGTTTGTTACAAGTAACAGATATCGTCAACAACACACAAGAAGTCCCATTAATTAAATGAAATATTAAATGCATGATCGAGATACAGTTTGATCGTAAACAGGTTTTTATAGATAATCACTTAAGTTATAGGACCATATAGAGCAAAGCAATAACCAAGTAATTACTAATCGAGTCAATTTTTTAACTGGCTTTGATATAATTAAACTCACTTCTCTGATGTCTTACATTCCTACAAACATTACTATTTTTTATTGAAACTACAATCATGAAATTAATATTTGTGACAGAAGTACAGCGTAATACCTTGCAGTGCAGTAAAATAAAAGGTAAATGCTGCCACCTGTTGGATCGGTCTCTGCAGTGGACTGTTAACAATGCTGCCTTCAAAACTATCGGAAGTATCGCAATTCAGCTAGAACTACACAGCTAACGCCACATTTAAGTACATGCCTTTTATTTTCTCCACTGCCTAGCTACAAGTAGCAATTTCTCTGTGGGGATTAAATAATCTATATCAGCTCTTGGGACAATGTTGATATGATTGTACCTGAGGAGTTGCATTTACTACTGTTGACGTGTGGGCATTGAATGCACTGAAGTGGCCAAACATGGCGGACGCGGATGAGCCGTAAGTAGCTGCAGAAGAAACCAGCGAGAAACAGTCATTAACTGCCCGAAAGATGCTTTCAAATCTCTTTAACCTACGAAAGCACAGCATGAATGAACCTTCTGTTCTTCTCTCTTTTTAGGGAGAAGAAAAGGAGAGTAGTGGAGCTGACTGAGAAGTTAGTGATGAATTGGTAGAACTGGCGGCAGGTTTGAGGTTGCGAGGCAGGAGGAAGGTTAACGTTAGCTGTATGAAGAAGCTAATCTGATATAACTTACGTTATAAACAGTACAGTGACTCCGGGATAGGCTTGAAAAATACAGATCAGTGTGTCGTGAGTAGCTAACGCGTCTATACAGTAAAACATCGATGGTATCTTACACCTCTATGCAAAGTTAGAGGTTTTGACTCTGTTGACATGTTAGCTATTCACTTAGCCTAGCTGCCAGGAACTGTCCAGTCAAGGGGTTTAACGCGCTTGATTACCCGCAAAAGGCCAGAGGGTGAGAAACGCCCACATGTCAGACATATGCTATATGATTTATATGTTTTTCACGGAGCTGTTCAATAACACAATGTTCCCGACTTTAGAGCAGACACTACTAATGACTGACCTCAAAACACGAGTGCACGTTAACTAATTACTCCATGACCCGTTAATGTCGCCCTCACTATGTGACAGATAATCACAGTATTGTGTTTACATTTTGACTGATGATGTTCTTTTTTTAGCATGAGCCCAGTCAAAGAAGCTAGACGCGGTTTGTGTATTAGTATATGAAACAAAGCAACGTTATTCATGCTGTGAGCCATCAAATACTACAGATGTCACGTCCTGAATGTACTTGTGTTTTTGTCTGCAGGATGGTGGTCGATGGAGGCAGTGGACGTACCTGTGAGTGGGAGGGTCGGTGGAACCATGTCAAAAAGTTTCTGGAAAGGTCAGGACCCTTCACGCATCCTGACTTTGAACCCAGCACCGAGGTAACAATCATGCAAGATTTGTATTTGTCAACTGTGCCGACTTGCATTGCTTTAATACATGATGTCTTCGTCGCTTGTCACCGCAGTCATTGCAGTTTATGCTGGAAACCTGCAAAATCCTGGTCATTGGTGCTGGTGGTTTGGGATGTGAGCTGCTGAAAAACCTGGTAGGGTCACTATGGTATTTTAGAGATATTTGAAGGTGCAAGTTATGCTTTAATGAATGGCCAACACTTTGTTTCCGTTCATCTTGTGGCTCAGGCTTTATCGGGATTTCGCAACATTCATGTTGTTGACATGGACACCGTCGATGTGTCAAACCTGAATCGACAGTTTCTCTTCAGGTCAGAACAATTATGTGAAGGTTAAATGTAAATGATGTACCCGTATTATTCGATTAATGTTATGGCTGAAGCAATACTAATTTTCCGTTCTGCGTGGGTGTGATGTCGCACAGACCAGACGACGTAGGTCGACCCAAGGCGGACGTCGCAGCGGATTTCGTCAACAACCGCATACCTGGATGCTGTGTAGTCCCGTATCCTTTCGATCGAACAGCTATGGCAAGATTTTTGATGCTTGATATAACAAACAAACCACAATCCACGGGATTATAAAGTGTAACATGTTGCACGCAGCTCAACCCATGTCAGAAAATCACCATTTAAGAATATCAAATGGACATTTCCTTAGTTGTTGAGTTGTGAAAGCCAGCGGACATTCTGTTCAAACTAAACTTCTCCTTAACACTTTGTGCAGACATTTTAAGAAAATTCAAGACATAGATGAAACATTCTATAGACGTAAGGAACACTAACACCTTTCCGTTTTCCAAATGTGGGGTTGGAGACTTTTTTTTTTGTCACTTTATAATTCAGTTTGATGCATTAGTGCAGGCCAACATTTTTACTTGCAAATTGCTTGTCATTTTGGAGAATTCTTTGCCTTTACCAATTACTGCTTCACAGCACTCCTTACCGCTGATTACATCTCAAATAAGAACTGATGTGATTATTTTACATGATACAATATTACTAACTATGCGTCTAGTTTTTGCATCATAAGATTGCTGCTTTGACTTTGCCTTAATCAATTAGATTCAAATGAATGTTTCTGTCTTTCATCTAGAATTTCATATCATCGTCTGTGGACTGGACTCTATAGTTGCCAGAAGGTGGATGAATGGAATGCTGGTAAGTTTTTTTCCCATCATTGCAATCTCGCAATGTCACAGTACTTTTGTCTCATGACTTTGGCCAATAGTTTTGTTCCCCTAAAGTGTTCTATGCAGAAATCACCTTCATTTAAAAAGGATAAAGCTGCACTATTCCCCACTGCTCTGTATATTGTGCACACACACACGCAAATGCGCGCACGCATGAGCACACTCACACTAGTGGTCAGAGATTGCACGCCGGAAAATGTGTCTGTGTCCCTCAGTTCGCATCTACCTACCTCCTCCCAAAAGCTGGAAACCTAGGGGAAAGTCTGCAGCCTGCATTGACCCTGTGTCTTCCTCTGCAGCTGTCTTTGCTGGTGTATGAGGATGGTGTCCTGGACCCACGTTCCATCGTTCCTTTAATTGACGGTGGGACGGAAGGCTTTAAAGGCAACGCCCGAGTCATCCTCCCTGGCATGACCGCCTGCATCGATTGCACCCTAGAGCTTTACCCTCCTCAGGTGAGATTTCTTCAACGTGGAATACTGTTTACTAAAACAATATGTGTTACAGAATTGTTTCCCGGTCAGTTTGTTACTAAAGGTAAACCGCTTTTTTTTTTTTGTAGATTAACTTCCCCATGTGTACAATAGCCTCGATGCCTCGTTTGCCAGAACATTGCGTCGAGTATGTCCGGATGCTGCTCTGGCCTAAAGAGATGCCCTTTGGAGGTACGAATCACACTGCGATTATCGTTTACGTTTGAAGGTGTTTGAAATGCTTAGAAGGAGCACTAAGACTGCTGACTTTAAAGACATTTCAAAACTTCTCTCTTGTGTGTGTGTGTGTGTGGATTAGATGGTGTCGTCCTGGATGGGGATGACCCAGAGCACATACAGTGGGTGTACCAAAGATCCCTGGAGAGGGCAGCGGATTTCAACATAACTGGAGTCACATACAGACTAACCCAGGGTGAGCACATCTAACCGAGCACTGCTGGTGTACTTGGAACTCCCGCTGAAAGACGAGTCCAAGTACGCAAGACAGCAAAGATTGTTGTCTAAATCAGTGGTCCCCAACCACCGGTCCGTGGGCCGTTTGGTACCGGGCCGCACCACAGAAAGCTTATATATATTTTTTTTCTGAAAAAATGTTTTATTTTGAAAATTGACCGGATTTCTCCCAATTATGTGCGCTCGTCCCTCTGACATATTCCCCACGCGTCACCAGGCGTTTTTCTTGTCCTTTTACCGTGCACGGCAGTTTCGCCGACCAGCGAACACAGAGCGCGCGACTACTTCCCCCCCCCCCCGTCAGACCTTCTCGACCGGTCCGCGAAATATTGTCTGACATGAAAACGGTCCGTGAGGTAAAAAAGGTTGGGGACCACTCCTCTAAATGATTCAGTAAATTTAATTCCTTGTACCCGTGTCTCTTGAGTACCGTTATGGTGCAAGAAGAATTTAAAAACAAGGCTAGATTTTTGCGCTGCCCAGCAGATGCATATGCTTTTATATCATTGATTGTCCATCTTTAGAAGTACACAAAATGTATACAGTATTTTCTGTATTCTATTTCAATGTTGCAGGTGTTGTGAAGAGGATCATTCCCGCTGTAGCGTCTACAAATGCTGTCATAGCCGGTAAGTAGCTTGAATTGTGCAAGTGTGTCCGAGAGCTGTGGACCGTATGCACTGCCATTTTATAGTCAATCATTTATAGTTATAATATATATACACTGTTTTTTTCCCCATTTTTCTTTTCCCCAGCTGCTTGTGCAACTGAGGTTTTCAAAATAGCCTCAAGGTAAGTTTTCATGTTGTGCTTGGCAGCCAAGTCAAGATCTGTAGGCACCATGTGTGCCTGTCATTATTTCCCTTAGTATTCCTTTGTCTTCTGCAGTGCCTATATACCTCTCAACAACTACATGGTCTTTAACGATGTTGATGGTCTGTACACCTACACTTTCGAAGCAGAACGGAAGGTTTGCCCTTTGGATTTCATCTGTATATTTGCCACGGTGAAACATTTGCTTGCTTGTAAAACCCATATTATTGTTCTCTTCTGATGCAGGAAAACTGTTCAGCCTGCAGCCAAGTACCTCTGAACTTGCACTTTTCTCCATCTTCCAAACTCCAGGAGATGTTGGACCACCTGACAGAGAGCGCTTCCCTGTAGGTCTAGTTGCCATATTAGGATTTATTACGGCGCTGTACCACCCTACTTAACTTCTGCCTGCTGGAAGATTTTTAGTTGTTTCTTTACAATTGCGGTCAACAACCAAATATATTGTATTTTTATTTCAGACAAATGAAATCACCTGCTATAACCGCAACAGTGGAAGGAAAGAACAAAACATTATATTTACAGGTAAAGGACTAATGGTTTCACTGTCTGTGTGTGTTTCTGTTATAGTTTTATATAATGAGGCAATCATTCACTTTTGGTTTGAGCTTACATTGAGTTGGTATTTTGTCTCAGTCTGTAGCTTCAATTGAACAGAGGACCCGTCCAAATCTGTCCAAAACCCTAAAGGGTGAGGTGCTTTATTTACTGAATGTGTTTCCTAGCAATGACTTTGAATATGATGTCTCACTGCTGTTCTGGACATGTTGTTGTTTTCTTTCAGACCTGGGGCTGACTGATGGACAGGAGTTGGCTGTAGCTGATGCCACCTCACCCCAAACCATGTTATTCAGACTCCGCTTTACCTCGTAGGATGAACTCAAGCACCCGCACAGCCAGTTGATGTCATTCTTTTTTCTTAGCCAACTATGAATGCAGCATATTTAAAATGGCCTAAAAACTGGAACAGTTTACAGTGTTTTAAGTCACAGTGTAAATGAGTATACATAATTTCATTGTTTTAATGTAATTATTGACTAATGTTTTGCACTGAAAAGCCAAAATCATAATTCATACCTTTGTATTTTCTTTTGGTGATACAGTACCTGCAAATGTTAAGGATTTCTGCAATAATGTGTTATCTGCACTATAACATAATGTGTGCTATATGCAAGCAAAGAGACAAAAATGGTTACTTTGGTAATTATTGTGTACATTCGTTCTGTTTTTGAATATTTATTTATCCCAAAAGTTTTTTTAGGTGCATAACCACTGCAGTGGTAGTGGACAGATAATAATAATAATAATAAAAATGCTTTTCCTAAAGTTTTTTTGTATTTGGTTTTTGTACTTGCATGAATTTGTGGGAATAAAAGTGCAATGAGTCTAGATTAACGTGTACAATTCAGGCTTCAAATAAGGTCAATTTAGCTTCTGATGCCGTTTGATTCCATCAATAATAACTGCATATGTTTAACGAAAGAAGGTTGAAACGCATTCATGCACGCATCCTTAATCACTCCTATTGACATCTTAAGTATTTTAGCAATTGAATATGCCCTTTGTCACTCATTTGTATGCAGCAGCTCAGCCTTTAGTCTGACCAGTAGACCGGCTCCAAGGGGCCGTGACGTCACCCTGCTACGTGGAAAGGAAGTAGCGAGCAGGCTAAAGCTAACGGAGCGACAAGTTGAGAGGGACCAAAACAAACGATGACAGACGAGCAAAACGGACTAAAGAAGCCCTGACTGTTTTGCGCTTAGCTATTCTAGACACTGTGTTGGAGATAGCTGCATTTCTACGTGAGAAATGATGTGACAACGAGCGCCGAGCGGGCGGTCCGCGAGCTGTAACTAACTATCTGGGATTAATGTCGTCCCTTTAACGCGATGCGTTGGCTAACTCGCAGCGCTGCTAGGCGGCTAAGCGGTAGCTAGCTGTCAACAACGCTTTGCTGGACAGCACAACATATGGGAATTGCGAAGAATTGTTCTTACCATGCTATCGTAGATACTGACAAATGCCTTGACGGTATTAAGTGACTGTACTTTGTGTGCTAACGCCACGTTCCCCGTGAGATCCGTTTCGCAACTTGGTGATTGCTAGCCGACGTTAGCCCAACTGCCAAAATGAGTTGGTTCAACGCATCTCATCTGTCCAGCTTCGCCAAGCAAGCTTTAACGACAGCTCAGAAGTCCATCGACCGAGTCCTGGACATCAAGGAAGAGGACGGGTGGGGCGACACCGTGGTAATGCCCTTTGACGGTGAGTAGTGGTACACAAGGTGCTATTAGCCAATGCTGCCATATGCTAACGTTAACGTCGGATGACTGCAACAACCAGTTGTGAAAATGTATTTTTGTGTGCAGATGTCACCATGTCTGGGAAGCTGTCATTAAGCGGAGGATGGGGCATGTCGCAGTGGGAAGCGCCCCTCGAGGAAAAGACCGTCACTCCCCCTCCCTCCTCCGACGCCATCACCACGCCTGTGACTCGCACAGTCGTGGATGAATCCGAAAACTTTTTCAGTGCCTTTCTGCCTCTCAGTGATGGACATGGTGTCACCAACACCCAAGTGGTGTCTGCACCCCCTGCTAAGTCTCAAAGGCAACCTGAGGACGAGGAGCAGCAGGAGCAGCAGGAGCAGCAGGAGGAGGAGGAGGAGGAGGAGGAGGAGGGAAGGGAAAACAGCGAAGACTGTGTGGCACAACAAGAAGTGGAGACTCAAAAGTCAGCACCGGCTGACGAGAGTCACGACAACCCGACACAAGTCGAGCCCGAGTCCTCGGCAAGTTACGCAGACACCATCCTCCTGCAGCCCGTCTCTCCGTCGTCTCCCAGCGACCTCCCTTGTGACCCCGACGGCGACGAGAGCCTCGATAACTCAAGTGCTGCCGCTCCGGTTGCTCCAAACACAAAAATAGAGGAGTCGCAGACCGAGCAAGATGCCCCCGATTCTGCACGACCTGCGGCTGTCGCTTCTGAACCCGAGAGCTCTCCCCCTCCTGATCCTTCGCCCTCCCCGCCGTCTAAAGAAGTACTTGCAGAGCGTAAAGACTCAAAGGGGGAGGACCGTCAAAATGACACCCCCTCTCCACCAGTCAGCGCTTTCTCCTCAGGAACATCGACCACCAGTGACATTGAAGTGCTTGACCACGACTCCGTGTTGAGCGAAAGCTCGGCCAGCTCCAGACAAGAAACCGGGGAGGGCAAGGCCGGCCTTCACCTAATGCAGGGCTCCTTCCAGCTTCTCTCCGCCTCCACCTGTGGAGACTTCCCCCGTCTGGAGGACTATTCCAAACTCACGGAGAGCTGTGGCTCGTCCTCGGACGCGTTCGAGCGCATAGATTCGTTCAGCGTGCAGTCGTTGGACAGCCGGAGTGTCAGCGAGGTCAACTCGGATGATGAGATCCCCGGCAGCGGGACACTGGCGTCGGTCACCGCGGACCCTCCTCCTCCCTCGGTGTCGTCCGCTGTATGCCAGAAGCAGAGAGATGGTGGAGTGGTGGAGGGGGAAGAAGGGGAGGAAGAGGGCTTTACCGAAAGCATGAGGGAGCAGTCGCTGGATGAGATGGAGGAGAGTGGACGGAGTGCCACACCTGTCAACAGCGAGCCGCCTGAGGAGTTGACCGAACGGGAATCTGAGGCTGATTTAATTCCGTCCGCCCCCGGGGCTGAGGAACGGATCACTCAACCAATCACAGAGGAGATGAAAAGTGTTACGACAGTTCAGATTTTGGAGCTTCAAAAGGTAACGTGATCCTAGTCAGCCGACAATCAATTGTAAAAATGTGTTTGTATGTAAACAAAGAACATGGGGACATTTTAGTTTTTTATTTATTGACAACCTATAGTATGAGCTGTACATCCATGCCACACTCCAAAAAATAAATATAATATTTATATATGAAAAAATAACACATACTTTTTGGTAACAACTCCACTATGCAAAATCTCTGAAAAATAGTTTTGCTAAACTGTCACGTCACATTTCCATATCATCTTAGAACTCCTTCTGACTTGTCGTCCGGAGCAAGACTTTACATTTGACCCTTCTAATAGCTTCAATTGCATATTTTGCCATTTGGTTGAAGACAACTGAACAAATATATTAATATTATTTCCATTGGTCTATGAATTACTTACGCAACACAAAGAAGGCAACCATTAAACCTTCGCAGTATATGTGAATACAAACGCACTATCCTTTCATATTAACGGGCTCATCCGTGCAACTTTTGCTTTGAAACTAAATGAAACGTTGCCGGCGTGTCGTAGGTGATTGACGAGCTGTCGGGCCGCCTTGAGAAGAGAGAGTCTCAGCTGCTGGCAGTCAGCAAAGACAAAGCCAGACTGGAGGAGAAGTGTGACAATCTCAAAGAGTGAGTACACAAGTTGCTCTGTGAATGATGTTGATAAGAAAGCTGCTTTTACTCAGGTGCTAATGTTCTTGCTGACGAGGTAACGCAGCAACAAACGCAATGAGCTTGTAAATTAAGCTCCAATCATGTTTTAAATGGTCTTTATCTACATACCCTTTTCATGCATTTATGCAATTATCGTACCGACGCTGAAGAGATCGCGCTCAAAGTTTTAAGTGATGTTTTTACATCAAGTCCCAGTGATTGTCACAGGCTCGAAATAATGCACTCCTGCCGGATAATTCAAGGGTTGCATCGTTTATGACCGCTAATGACTCTGTTTATCCTCTAGTGAAGTGATAAGCCTGAAAGAGGAGAGCTTGATGGTTCCGTCGCTACAGAATGAGTTCACACAGCGCATCGCAGATGCAGAGAGGAAGGCTCAGCTGGCATGCAAAGAAAGGGACATAGCCAAGAAGGTAATTCGCATATTCCTGATCTGAGGCTCCATTCTCCCTCTACTATATAAGTCAATTGAGAATCCAGCATATTTTTCCGATGTCATAAACAACATGTCTCTATGCTACAGGAAATAAAAGGTCTGCGAGAAGAGCTTTCCACAAGACTTCACTCCAGTGATACATTGGAGATCATCAGAGAGAAGGAAGAGCAGATCAGAGGCCTTTTGGAAGAAGGTAAGACTCATTCATGTAGCAGAGTATAATTCCGCTGTAATAAGCTGTACAGTCAAGTAAATGATCAACATAAAACTAAAGCTGCTTTTATTACATCAATTCATTTTAATACGGTGGAACAGGACTTACTCCTGAGAGACTTGTCGGTAATTATCTGACTGGGGTTATGAATTAATGGAAATTGTATTGCAAATGATATATCGGGGGAGAAATTCTGCTCACATCAATCTTGAAGCAGAAGAGTGTGGAAAGAATAGCTTGTCACTGATATAATGCTGAGCTATAGCAGGTTTCATCCCAGCATATGTGTCTATTGTTGTCACTTTAAGGCGAAAAGTTGTCCAAGCAGCAGCTGCAGCACAGCAACATCATCAAGAAACTGCGCGTGAAGGAGAAGGAGAGCGACACCAGGATCTCCAAGCAACAAAGGAAAATCAAGGAGCAGGAGGAGGAGCTCAGGCAGCTACAGGAGGTCAGATTTAAGTACCAAATCAGCCAAATGAATGAATGTAATGTAAAACTATTTATTTATAGTATTACATCATCATCATATCACATTAGATAGTGATGGTTATGATTAGCTTCAATAACCCAATGCAGTGTGATCATGGCTGAGGTTTTTTTTGTGTGTTTAGGTCCTGGATGGGAAAGAAGAGGTGGAGAAACAGCACAGGGAGAACATCAAGAAGCTGAACCTGGTGGTGGAGCGGCAGGAGAAGGAGCAGAGCAGGCTGCAGACGGAGTCTGAGGAGATGCAGGAGAACAACAGGAGCCTTCAGGCTGCTCTGGACAGCTCTTACAAGTAACGCTGACACACCCTTCCAACTGAATACCACCAGCGAGAGCTCTCACTGTAAATGTAATCTCACAAATGTATTATTGTAACCGCGCAGACTGAAGTCTTTGAAATGCAACTCATTTATTGTGAGGTAGTTGAGTTTATTGGATTTCAGGTAATGGAATGAAAATTGAGGTTAACATGTTGAGTTCCAACACTTCTTTTGGAAAGATGTGTACATTCCCTTTGGGTGAACAACAAGGGAATTGTTACCAATTTGATACATAATCCCCCCCGTTTTAAGGAGACACAGAGTATTTCTACATATACTCAAGTAATGCTAAAGTTGTGCTTTGACATCTCTGTTGTCAGGGAACTCGCTGAACTTCACAAGGCTCACGTCAGCAGAACGAGCGAGGCCGAAGAGGCAGCCCTCGGCAGGGAAACGCAGGCCAAGGAGAAGCTGAGCCTGGCTCTTGAGAAGGCCCAGGAGGAGGCCCGTATCCAACAAGAGGCTCTGGCCAACCAGGTAACTCAGGCTGCGGCTGCCCACACAGAGTTCTGCTGTTCATGCGAGTAAGGAGTTGCTAAAGCTGCACCTGGCAAACGTAACACTTACACTCCAGTTGGCTTTGGTGCAGCTGTAATAAACCATAGTCAGCTATTTGCTGCAAATAATTTCCTGTGCTCCTGGAAGTTCTGTGGCCTGTAACCAGGCATTTCTGTAACATTTTCCTATTTTCTTTACTCACTCACAAGCACGCGTGGTTGCTGCTATGTGATTCCTTCACTTTCCCCAGTTTATTTTCCCCTGCACTGGTCTCGACATCAAAATTGCGTTTGTGTTGCGAATGTATGCATGTTCTTGGTTATTTTGTTGAAGGGACTATTTAAGCCAAAAAATAATGCTAATGTGTTTATTAATTCACACATCGCACATAGCCTCTGTATCTGACATCCATTCATTCGAAACACTGCAAAGTTTAACAGTACATCCTTTATTAACTTTGTACAGGTGGCAGACCTGAGAGTGGCTCTGCAGAGAGCTGAGCAACAGCAAGCGAGAAAAGAAGATTATTTAAGGGAGGAGATCAGTGAGCTGCAGCAGGTAACCTAGCACGCTGCTTAAAAGATGTCCTACCAATCTGGTGCCCTTTGACTGGAGGTAGAAACAACCAGTATTTTGATCATTTAAATGAAAGCACGTCATTCGTTATCCCTTCATCTCCCACAGAGGCTCCAGGAGGCTGAGACAAGGAACCAGGAGCTCAGTCAGAGTGTTACCTCAGCAACACGACCCTTACTGCGACAGATTGAGAATTTACAGGCCTCATTGGGCGGACAGACTGCATCCTGGGAAAAACTGGAGAAGAACATCTCCGATAGGCTAGGTAAGATGAGTTCACCAACATTCAGAAATGAGGAAAGAAAGCAAAAACCTTTTTTGATCTCCCTTTTCTTCTCAACAGCAAATGCCCAGGCACAGCTGGCTGTTGCCGTGGAGAAAGAGAGATCTGCAACAGAAGACCTCCTGTCCGTCAAGTCCCAGCTCGCCTCTCTTGAGTCCCAGAACTCCCTGTTCCGTCAGGAGAAGGCTCGACTCCTGGCACAGCTGGATGCTGAGAAGAACAAGCGGGAGAGACTCGAGGATGAGAGCAGCAGGTAACAAATTGCAACTTAAAACTTAAGCCTACAATGTATAGTGATGAGGTGCCTTCAGCCATCAGCGGGTCATCATCACTTCTCTCATTCTCTACTTATGCTATGTTTTCCTCAACGCTGCTGTGCATGCCATTTGGAATGTGTGACGATAAGTAATTTTTTCCAGCGCAGACTGAAAGGTGTAAATTATGTCTGAAAATAAGATAATAATAAGCATACATTGTGTACAGTTGGTAGCTGCTTGGGAAACAGTATTGCACATTTTACTGTGCAATGGATCATGGATGATTGTTATTATATTGCATACTTTTATTTCATATTTTATGTTTGGCACGTCACTGGGTTATTCCACTGGTTTTGTGTCTGTCCCATTATCTCAATGTAGGGAGCACGTTGATTTGGAAAATCTGCGAGGAGAGCACACCCGCCTGCTAGAAGAGGCCAAGAAGGAAAAGGTACCTTCACGCTCCCTCTTACTCTGATTTTTCTCCTCTTTGAAACAACTCCCTCATGTGCATCGTTTTGCTTCTTCCTCCAGCTGCTGCTGACCAATCAGTTAGAGATGGAGAAGATGAAGGTGGAGCAAGAGAAGAAGAAATGCTACCTGGCACATGAGGCACTCAAGGAAAAGGTTCACAATGATTTCGAGATTTTCTATTTTTATTCTGTTTCATCACAATGTTTCTATTTAGACAGTTAAATTGTTCTAATTGTGTGAAATGTTTTCCCGTTAGGAGCGCAAGGTCATGACTCACTCTGTGGGAGAGCCTCCAGACTCATCCACACACTCCCTGTCCCGCTCGAGCTCCATCAGTGGGGCAGACAATGCCGCTCTACACTCCTCAATTCTCTCCCAGGTACACGTTGGGAATAATGGCAATTAGTCTGTCTGTACGTTTCTTGATTTGTGCAGCTTTAGCAGCGCTGTGCTTTTGTGTCATTCTTCCACAGGACGACTCCATGGATTACTCTTTGGGGAGCATGTCCATGTCCACGACAATGAGCGGGACCAACCTGTACGAGGCCGCCAGGCTGGCAGGAGGCTCGAGCATCATCGAGAACCTCCAGTCTCAACTCAAACTCAGAGAAGGAGAGATCACACAACTGCAGGTAGCAAAGCCACTTAACGGTTCTTTAAATGACAGAAGGCTGGCAAAATCTACATTACAAAACAAAAAGTATTTTAATGTGGTAAAACAAAACATATCAACAGCATTTAATAGAAAAACAGGTTATGATCAGAGTTCCCTCTTCCTGTTTCTGCAGCTTGAGATCTCTGGTCTCGAGAGGAGTCGTTCAGTGATGGCAGAAGAGCTGGTCCGACTCACCAATCAAAACGACGACATGGAGGAGATGGTGAACGACATCCCCAAGTTGAAAGTTCAACTCAAGGTATAAGGGCTGCATAAGCCGATACAGGTACTTGAATGTCGTACATGCAGAGGTCAGTCTGATTTGTGTGGCTGTGGATTGCAGGATCTGGAGCAAAGGCACAACACTATCCTGCAGATGTATGGAGAAAAGGCTGAAGAGGCGGAGGAGCTGAGACTGGACCTTGAAGATGTGAAGAACATGTACAAAATCCAGATTGATGAACTGCTAAAGAACCAGAAGTAAACCAGTTGTTACTGGTTCCCCCTTTGGGACTCTCGCAAACGAATCAATTGACCATCTCAGCCACACATGCATTCACAGGAAAGGAATATGTGGAGAATTTAGTTAAACTACTGTGTCAAAAGGAAACCCTTATCTTTCTGTATTTTATTTTAATTCATTATTACATCCTATATTTGAGTGGGGATGTTGGGATTATGTATAACATACAATACATTCTTACAGAATCAGCATGAAGGAGAGCTACAGGTTGTGATGTTGGTGTCCGCATTGAATGAAATCTTCTTTTGGTGTAATTTCACTTGTTTAAACCATTTCATGGTATTGTATAAAGTTTAAAGCTGCTGGGGGATGGTCAAGCTTATTTTGCACTATACAAATTCATCCCTGTTCATTTGTTAAGCCATAATCAGAATGGTTTGAGGAATATATAAAACAATATTGTACAGAGAATTTTATTAATTACTCTTATCTCCGCAAAGTGATTTTTTTTTATAGACGTGGGAGTAGTCTGATTAAAATGCAGGAGAAGAAGATTTTAAACCTTATAAATATGTAAAAGAATAAACATGTATTTGGGTGGTGAGAAATACAATGATTGTTTATGTAAGTGATTTGGTTTAACACAATAGAAATCTGAATTTGCATTATATTCATACAAAATACTAATTATCTTAATGCTGCGGCAAAGTCTTCATCCAGGCCAAACTTTCTGTTCTTAACTATTTCAGACATTTGTCCAATCCATATTTTTGCACAGGATTAGCCACACTTGTAACAGAAATCCACTATAAATTCAATGTGAAATGTTGAACGGATAATCTTCACGAGAACAGAAATATTTAATCGTTTACATTCTGATACGAAACATTTAAAAAAGGTTTGTAAAACTATCTGACACTTTTAGCATTTGTTTTTTCTCTCATTTCTGAGCTCAGCCTTTCATCTACCTCCTTGTTACATGATTCATCTCAGTTTTGATATCCCCACTTACCCTATAAGGGCCTTTAGAATAATATTCCGAGGACTCGTGACAGCATTTGGGCTTCTTTTAGGGTCCTCTCGGGACAGCGTGCGGGGCACAGCGCCCCCCTGCGGCCGTCGCCGGCTATTACAACCCCGCCACAAGGTTTCCGGTGTTATGGCGACCACCGGCAACATCATCGCTTCAGTCTGGAGACTTTCAGTGCAAGCATTCGGGTAAAACGCTTTCCATTGCGACAGAAAGTACCCAGATCCAGTCAACCATCGATAGTTAGATATATGCACGTTCCCCGTTTTTTATACCGGGGACATTTTAATTATATTTCCCCGCTTCGCTCCAGACGCGTCGGTGTTCATTCACAGCTTGAGTCGGGGTCTTAAGCTTTGTCAAGAAGTGACGTTAACGGGACGTGTCAGCCGCCGCTTCACACACCAGCCCCCAACAAACTATCGGCATATTGCCCCCCCCGAGAAAGCAAAAGAGTAAGTACTGGTTTATAATCCCGGCATAACTAACGTGTATCGTGCGTGACCATCGAGTCACTGGCTCGCGCCCTTAACGTCTATAAGCGGAGGTGATTAATTGACGCTGACGTTGGTTCAAAGCTTGATTTCTGCATATTTAAGCTTTTATCAGCGCTGTTTAATTTCATTTAAGTGGTGTTTACTTCCGGGAGAGCCGACGCACGACGAAGTAACGGGATTATAACGTTAAACGCGACCGGCGCCCCTCGCCCCCTCGCGCCCGAAAAAGTTGGAATAAACTGTCAAACCTTAATTGGCTGAAAGAAGGGCCTCGTGTTTACATGTTCTCACAGGTTCTAACATGTTTCCACATGTAACGTTAGCTTTACCCCTGACGCATCTCAAATAAGCACTGTCGTTTCAGAGTGTTTGTACCGTTACTTTCCCCCAATAAGTGAGTAATACTCCTGTGAGACGTGCAATTGATGGCTGGTGAGTACATGGACCACCTGTTAATTTATGTGCACCACCTGCAGTCCTTCTCAGCTCCGTTAGATGTGCAAATAATCAAGAGCCATTGTTACAAAGCGCAAGCAGTTTGATAACTGTAAAACGGAAGCTTCTATAATATTCTTTGATATTGCACTTTTAGCTTCCTGGATCTGCATTGGTCACATTGTTACCAGGCGATTTTCATTTTTCATGTTCCTTCAGGCTCAGTTGCGATCGCTCACACGACAGTTGGAAAAGGGTCAGTGAGTTTTCCTCCTCGTGAGGCCCTCAGATCCCCCTGCAGCTACTTTCCCACACACTTGCTTGTGTCCACGCGCTCGTAAACTGCAGTGTTGGGATTTTAATTGCAGAGCGGCAAGTCTGAGTCTGAGTCTGAGCCCTTTTTTTCTTTTTACTCCTCAGAGTGCTGTAAAGAGAGGCAGCTATTTCACATGTCTGTGCAATTCTGACTATGATGCTCTTGGTCGCGCTGGGCATCATTTCTTCGTTTGCTGTGGTCGCCGCTGAGGAGGCCGAGATCATCGACCACGGAGCACCGGCACCGCCGCTTAACCGCAGCAGGATCTCCCTGCCGCCAGAGCACGTTCCCTACTTCCTCTACAACAACAAGAGGGTCGCCAAGCAGTGCCGCCTGGACCCGCTCTGCCCTTTTAAAGTAAAATGTGCAACTCGCCGTCAACTAGAAGCATTTTTGTCAGTGTTGCTTCACTATCAGGAAAATCTCTTCGAGCCATTTTACTGCCAAGTGCCTTGAGATTTAAATCATGACTCATAACCACATGAAAGCTGTCTAGATAAATAACTATTATTGAGAGATGAATTAGTTCTCCCCTAACTGAAGTTGGATTTTGTCTGGAGTTTGTAGTGACAAGATCAGAGAAACGCATGTTTTAGATACCTACACAAACCCCCATATTTTCCCACTTCATACACTTTTTACAACAGGATGCACTGCGGGATCTGTCCGCCTGTTGGGGCTACGAGAAGAACTGTGATCCCGGGAAGCGCTTTAGCTATCCAGCCTGTACCACAGCTGACCCTGCATGGTACGGCCCCTCCAATCACATCCACACTTTAAGTTCTTATTTTGTCCATCTCATAATTCATGTTACACAATTGACTTTCCCCACTCTCCTCGCAGACATCCAGGATGTGCTTTCAAAGTAAACGTGTTCTTATTCATAGCATGCGTTAATGAGTGACCATTATAGCTGATCTGGCTAAATCTGTGGTCGGTCAGGGTCCGTTCTCTGGAGGCAGCCCAGGAGCTTTTCTGGAAGCAGGCTGATTTTGGCTACGTCAAGGAGCGCCGCTCCGAGCTCAAAACGCTGTGCAAGGCCAGCAAGCCAGTAAGTCTGCCCGTTTCCTCAGTTCCCACAGGCCCACCGAGTCAACAGGAAGGAAAACAAACAAGCAGAAGCAGTGTTGAACAAAAGAGTCTCCAGACAACAGGCCTGAACAGTAATGTCAAGGAAGAATAGTACAGCTTCCATGAGCTCTAAGGTCCCGAGTTAATAGCACTTGAACATTAAATATGTTTTATTCCTAATATTTTTCTAGGGGGACTCATCGTTGCGATGTAGTAGCCACACTCGCTTCTGTAAGGCGACTAACCTTTACCTGGACCTCCGAAAGCCTCGCAGAAGTCACGAGAGGTCAGTGGATATGAAAGTGACACGTACACGAAATGAACAATAAACTGACACAAACTCACTCAGTGTTGACGTTACAGATACAAGGAGGACTTCATTCAGACGGGCGAGATTGGTGGTTGTTGCAAACTGAACAAGCGATCACTTGCTGCCGGGGGAAAGCACAAGAGCCCCTTACAGTCTTGGTGAGGCAGGACACGCACACATTGACACACCGAGTTCAGTCTTTTGACTTTGGTATGAGCTCTTGGAAATTGGGAATGTGAACATGAATATGGAAATGCTTCCTCACCGGGGATAGAACCCGGACCCAGCCGAGTACACAGGCTATAATAAGTACGATGAAATAGTGATGTCTGAAGATGTTGCAGTGAAAACGCTGGTTACCGTTAGCATCACACATTAACAGGTATAGTTTACGTCTGTATAGCTCACCTGACTGTTAATACCACCTTAATAGATGAACATATATGTTTTGTTTTCCAAAAATGTAGGAAAAACCCTTTATATATGCTTTCATGTTTTGAATGAATGGAAGAAACCGGCAGCCATTGTGATTTAAAAAGATCAATGACACAGAAGTGACTTGGTCAAACAAAAGAAATGACGTCCGTCCTTCTCACGTCAGTGATATGAATACAATGTAACTGCTGGATCACAACATACAAATGATGTATTTAAGTTATTTAAGTCAGCAGCGCTGAAAGGGGAGACAGTCAGGAATGTCGGGGGTGGAGAGGGGGAGTCAGGGCCCCCACGCCTCTCTTCTGTCTTCCGCCTTTTGTCCTCTAGAGGACATGTGGGCCAGTGGCGCAATGGATAACGCGTCTGACTACGGATCAGAAGATTCCAGGTTCGACTCCTGGCTGGCTCGTACTTTTACAATCCCGAACGGATGCGCTGTGCTCTTTTTGTAGGTATGCTGAGCTGCAGACGTACACAGAGCTGGACTTTCATCCCATACAGGATGGACACTGTGATGTTGTCATTGAAAAGCCCTCCGTTTTCATGAAACTGGATGCTGGTAGGTAATTAACATTTGCATGACTTGAGGTCACATACCGTGCGAATTGTAAGGTAATTGTAAGTTCTGTATTACATCTCCATCATGGCCTCTGTTGGCCCAATCTGGCTTGCAAGAAAACTACGGTGGCAATGAGCATGATCACAGATCTCTAGTTTCATTTGCACCCGGTGCCCCCCTAGTTAGGGTAGTTCTCAAACCGTGCGTGGTATATTCTAATGTGCCTGCATGGGTCATAAAAGGGGGAGCCAAATCTGAATAGCTTGTGGAATCACATGCTTTCTGATTTAAGAAGCCAATAAACTGTCTTTTTTATTGTATGCACAATATATGCCGCCGTTAGATGTAAGTCCTGTAGTCCTTAAGTAGCTAAAACCTTTACTCTTATTGTACATCTGTGAAAGAAAACAATACACAATGCGGGATAGCAAGGATTCTACTCACACTTGTAAGTATTCTTTTAGGCCTGAAACAGACCGACATTCAGTGAAATAACACTTGTGTGTTTTCCCAACAGGGGTGAACATGTACCACCATTTCTGTGACTTTGTCAACCTCTACATCTCCCAGCACATAAACAACTCCTTCAGCTCCGATATCAACATCATCATGTGGGACACGGTGGGTACCTGATGTCTCCCATCGCACATTGAGTAGAGATATTTCTTAATTTGTTGTTTCTATTTCATATTAATCAGCACATACTGTACCCTGTGGCAATGAAGCACAAGGCAGCGTTTTACATTTGACTCCCTCTTTTAGCTCACTTAAGAAATACATGAACAGTCACATATTGGATCTGTTTCTGGGTCACAAGGTGCAACTCTAGATCTCAAAATGCTGTAAAACACTCAAAATAACTTTTGTGTCACTCTGTTTTGATGTTAAGTTCTACAACACAGCGGGAAAGCCAAACAGTATTTTGTCTCTAATTCCGTCACAGCTTTTGTTTAACGAGTCGGTGGCATTGGTGCCGGATGTAAACATCGCGGGGCAACAGCAGTTTGAAAAACAGTGCTTTGCAGACAGCTTTATCCGGCCGTGGTTCCACAGAGGGAAGGAGGAACAGGGGAAGACCTTCCAGCACGAGCAGCACACTGGAGCGGCGGCAGCCCGTCGGATAATAAACAGCCTGATAGCAGATTGTGTGTGAAGCCACGGCTTCGGAGAAATGCAACCCACAGAGTTTGAAAGCAGATGTCACAGCCTGGCTCCGCTTACGGCTGTAGTTGATTCAAATTTTATTGGTTTGTGTTTTGTTTCAGACGTAACATTCATTTGATTAACATTCGTTCCTTTCCTTTTTTTAACGTCTCTTCCCAGAGTGTTTATGGTTATGGGGATCTGTTCAGTGAAACGTGGAGGGCCTTCTCAGAAGATGACATCATCCACTTGAAGACCTATGACATGAAAAGAGTAGGTGTGGTGTCACCTGTGTGGGGTCATTGTTCACTCCTTTTTTATATCGAATATTGAAGTACACGCACATCATCATTTCAGTATATTGGAAAGCGTCACGTTTGCTTCACACACACATTCCTGTGCCACGTTTTGCTGACTTGGTTGATCTGTTCTCTCTTTTTCCACAGGTGTGTTTTAAAGATGCCTTCTTCTCCCTCCTTCCAAGAATGAGATACGGCCTCTTTTACAATACGCCTCTTGTAAGTTCCACCTTTCATGTACTGATGTGTGTGTGTTTCCACCAACCAAGTCTACTTTACACGTACTTGCTTCCAACAAATAGTTTCACTCATTATTGCCTTCATTGTGCTTTTGTGGGTTTTGTATCTCACATTTTGTGGTCGACCTTTTAGAAACAATATATTGCTCTCCCTTTGCAGAATCCGCTTTAGTCCTAAACGTGCATTCCAAGTCAAATATGTATGTGATGTATTCAAAGGCTCAGCATGTGCTTACGTTATTTAAATGATAATTTCAAGATGATACCATGTAAATATGTGTTGTCCTGTGGTTCCGGCCTTGGGGTGTGAAATATTGATAGCTCCGCCTCAAGTTCATGCTTTCGATTGCCTCTGCAGCAGCTCATGTCATGTTTACACTCATGTGTTCATGTTTACGCAGCAGTGCAGCAGTGTATTTGACTCGAGATATGCTGAGGCTCATACCGTATTAAACCCAGGGGAATCAGAAATATTTGTGCAATTGTCAGGGCCCCAGTGTGTTGCATGTTTTTCATCTCAACCCAGTGGAATGGGGATGTGTGGTCTGATTCAATTCATTTCAAAACCACTCAATTTTCTGCAAATGAAAAATCTTTTTGCATGATCATATACAAACAAAGTAATCGTTTGAATTGTCTATTTTAAATTGAATGGACGTATGCAAAATAAATTGCGAGTACAATGTACACTTTCTGTGTTGATGTCAGGTGTCCGACTGCTACAGTGAAGGGATGTTTAGGGCCTTCTCCCAGCATGTCCTGCATCGACTGAACGTCCCGCGAGAGCGGCCTAAGGTACGGAAACCGCTTTTCAGTCTGCTATAATTTCATGGACACATTTATAAATACAAGAGTAAAAGAGCTACACTGTATGTTCACTGATGAAATGGGAGCATTGAAAGCCTCCCCAGTGCTCTGTTAAGTCCCTGGTGGTCTAGTGGTTAGGATTCGGCGCTCTCACCGCCGCGGCCCGGGTTCGATTCCCGGTCAGGGAACGACTTTATTTCTGTTCCACTTGATGTTAAATGTAAGTAAAATTTCACCAATTACTGAAATAGATATGTGTTAACCTGATACACGCTACATCATCGTAGACAGTTGGCCACAACTCACTAAAGTAGTGAGTGAAACAAGCAACTAACTAGTAGTAAGCTGTTGGTTGTGATACATCTTTAGTTACAGCAAGTTCGGATAACTGCTCAGTGTGCAAGAACAAAATACAACCGTTTCCCTGCTGTATCTTAATATTACTAACATAAAAATGTTGCCTTCAGTTTTTCTTGCACGTCTGATTTCTAATTCCTACCAGTTGACTTCTAAAGGGCTTTATCTCCCTGGTGGTCTAGTGGTTAGGATTCGGCGCTCTCACCGCCGCGGCCCGGGTTCGATTCCCGGTCAGGGAACACATTTTATATTTTTAGTTATTTAGTGCTTCTTTACTGCAGGGGAAGGTAGCTTGTCACCTCACTGACCTCAAATGTGTATGAACTGAACTGTTAAATAACAAAAGTAATGGAACTAGTATAGTGAAGATGCCTGCTGATTTGACGTCTTCCCTACGCATGTACCAAAATAACATGAGTGACAGTAGCAACTGGTTAAGGAAAAAAACATGAAGCAGCTGTTCATGTTTTTTTCCTTTTTTGAGAATGACAGAGAACAGCAAATAAATAATCAATATCTGTCCGTCAATATCTCTAACAGCCGTTAAATGATGTATTAACATCTTGGAAATCAATTTAATCAGAAACAGCACATGTCTTTTTGTTGAAAGTATTTTTGACATGAAACTGACTGTTAAAAAACAACAACAACTAAAAAATGAAATACATCATGATATGCTCTGGTCCAGCTTAATGGTCTGTAATCAATTTACTCTCCATGCTATTTTGGTATATTTCAACAGAAATATAACAAGGCAACTCTTTTATGATTTCAGAATATTTTCAGAGGAAAATAGAAAAACAACTTATAGTTTATAAGCAAAGATCAGGTACTTAAAATAAATATTATGCTGACGGGCAGAATGAGCAACCGCGTGTGATGAAGAGCCAAGTCACCGTGCTCGCCACGACTGCAATCTGACTTCACTGATTTCATTGCTACGATAAACCCCAGGGAGGAACTCCTCAGCAACTGTACCCTTCTAGGTCTGAAAGATGGATGTGCACACTTGAATGCTGCCACGGCCACTTCCTCATTCATCCTACCTCTATAACTCTTCAGCACTTCTCAAAGGTGTCTTATGATCCCTGTTTTGAAGCACCTGAATGTGTCTTTATGACCAGCAGAGCCCAATAACTTCTCCCTTCCTGTAGAGCAGCTCATTGGGTATTCATGGCAATATGCTAAGAGGCTTTTTTTCGGCGAGACATGCGGCTGACGGCTTTAGCAGGCCTGCGACTGAATGAGAGGCCATCTCTGCCCTGACCTCCTCCTTTCATCTCTAGATTAATGGCACAGCCAGAGACTCACACTGCTGCTCGCCTCTATTGTGTCCGATTCATCCGCCTCCACCGCCCGCTCCTCCCGCCCCACACTTGTCATAATCTGGTCTTTTTCAGAATGGAACCCTTTGTTTTCAATACACATAAAAGTATTTAAACATAAGATAATAAATGAGGCCTGTTTTGAATATATTTGTGTTCACTGCCTCGATAGTGAAGTGCTGCAATTTAGCTCCTTTATTGTGTAGATCAGATTTGCTGTGAGTGTCATTCATTCTGATTTAAAGATAATGAAGTCATGATCACTATGGTTTATTCCCATATGTCATGAACATTGTCTTAAAGTGTTTCAATTATCTTCTAGAACACAAGGTGGCAGTAGAAGAATATATATATATATATATAGAAACATATTTACACTGTATAAACTAATAAGAACACATCAGACAAGAAATCCAATGGTTCCACTTTTTAAAATACTAATTGATGGGATTCTATTTCATGCGTCGTCTCACGTGTGCTGTACAAAAGACACATTTTAAAACGGGCCTCTTACCAGCCGCCTATCTTTTCCGCCCTTGGCTGATTTATTATGGGGCGCCTTGCTGTTTTCAGGAGGGGCGTGTTCGTGTCACCCTGCTGGCACGCAGCACAGAATACAGAAGGATATTAAACCAAGTGGAGGTGAGTGAAGCACCACCTTCCCTCCTCCTCTCTGTCCCTCAACTTTCTTGTAGTAGCTCTTTTTCCTCCTTCCTGTCCCTTTTCTTCTCTTCTCCCTCTGTGTCTCCTTTTCTTTCTACTCAACTCTCTCACGCCCTCAGCCCCTCCTTTCCACCATTGATTTACTGCTCACATCTGTTAAGTGCTTATTTAAAATCGTATTTGCCATAAACAGTTCAAGTAAAAAGGCTTGTGATTGATATGGTCCCTGCCTATATTTGTTTGCCGTCTCACTGATCAGAGAACACATGCCTCCATTGTTGTTACAGCTGGTAAATGCCCTCAAGACTGTTCCTTTACTGGAGGTCAACGTGGTGGACTACAAATACAAGTGAGTTGCAGGGTGCTTGTCACAGTTCCACGGGAGGAATTCAGTGCAGCTCAGCATCGGTCAGCAATGTGACGGTGCTGTACATGAACACGTCAATGTAATATCAACAGTGTTTCCACAAGCAAAGATGATTGATGTGTGATCCACCGACTGTCTTTCAGGGATGTTCCCTTTCTGGCGCAGCTGAGGATCACAAGTAACTCTGACATCTTTATCGGGATGCATGGGGCGGGTCTCACGCACCTCCTCTTCCTCCCCGACTGGGCAGTGGTCTTTGAGCTGTGAGTGACATTTTGCGTGTGTGTGTTTGAGGGGGGAAAGCAGGCAGCGCGATGGCAGCGTGCTGCGCCCCCAAAGTGGCCCTCAGACACTCATCTTGACTTTGACATACTGTCTAATTAACCAGTCATTCATCACACCTGACTACTGCGGGGAGAAGAGTTTTCGGGAGGATGCGTGCGTGTGTCATAGAGAGAGAATGATCATGTGTGGGGGTATTTTGTGTGCACTTGTGATGAGTGGCACAGAATGAGAACCCCAGCGTGCATACAGCTATAGAGAGAGAGAGAGAGAGAGAAAAGATTGAGCACGAAAGAGGGAAAGCGGGGCAGACCGGGGAGAGCACGAGATAAAGTGTGTGCATCTGTCCCTCACAGATATAATTGTCAGGATGAGAGCTGCTATCGAGATTTGGCTCGACTTCGGGGCATTCGATACGTGACTTGGCAGAAAATGGACAAAGTGCACCCACAGGACACGGTAGGGGAACCTCCCGAACCAGCCGTCAGCTCTCAGGGCCCCTCAGTGTGAGCCGTCTCAGTTCACCTCACCTTCATCTCCACACACTTACACTCTGATGAGCTCATCTCCTATGGGCAATTAACGGCTTTGTAAGACATACAAGCACATTCCTCACGTATGGTCCGCATGTCCCTCGTCACCTCCTGGCAGTACAAAGACACACATTTAAGTGCTTTTTATGTGTCCATTTACTGAACACACGTCTGTGTGTCGCCTCCCTCAGGGTCACCACCCAACCCTCGGGGACCATCCAAAGTTCACCAACTACTCCTTTGATGTGGGGGAGTTCATGCGCCTCGTGCTGGAGGCAGCGGCTTACGTCACACACCATCCCAAACGGCAGCGCCGTGGCCTCCGTGATGAACTCTAGAGTCGCTGTGAGTGTAGGACGCAGACGTCCGCCCACCGAAGAACCGGGAACACGAACCTGCCGTTCTTCCGGATCCGAAGACCTCTTCCCGTTGAGTCATTTTAAATGTTTTTTTTTTTTTTTTCAAAGTGACCTCTTCCGACAGTGGTTCTGGTAGTTTGTCACCTCATTTTTGCGCTGCTCTGGTAGGTCTGGTTGGGTGAAAGTACGAATGGCGGAGGACTCTGGGTTGGACAGCCTCCACCAGCTCTTATTAGTGTCACATCAGTTAAAAGACGAGGCGTGTGCAGTCACAGCATCTGGAGAGCGATAAGACGTGTCCTATGTTTCCTCATTACCGCTGCTGCGTCTACTTCATTCCACGCCGACAAAGTTAGCTAATGAACAGCTGTTACTGCGTCCCTTCACACGCGACATCTTGTCACATTTCATCAGTGTCACCTTGATGCCAGCCCCTCAGAGCTATTGACAATCCCACCAAAGTTTCTGAGCATATATCCAGCATTACTCCAGTCTAATGTGACGAGCAGTATTCACACGCAGGATTCATGCAGCAACAGCTTTTTTTGCATTTAGTTTGACATTTGAATTGAAGTTCTTGAAGTATCTCTAATGGTGATAGACAGGATTGTGTCTTTCTTTATAGTTAACATGTTCTCCTTCGAAAATCGTTACATTCGTTATTTAAACGTGTATGTTTGTTGGTTTGATACATTGTCAGTATTGGTAAAATGACCAGGGTGCTGCTGGTGACATTACCTTTTTTAGACCTGTGAATGTTAGATTTTATATTTTAGGTCAATTTGACTGAAGTGGAAATAAGCACAATCGGCATGCGGTCTGATGCAATGCACAGGAGTATTTTAAGCGAACTGCTTTCGTGTTACCTGCCCTCTCTGAGTGTGATGTTTTATTTATCAATAAACCCTCTTTGGTCAGGTCATAGCTTGACTCGTAGGCAATTTCATATTCAGAAGCTGTGAAATATCATAAAATAAATTATGCTTAAAAATGCTGCAGAATGTCTTCTTTTCTGTGCTGGCCATATTTGGCATCAGAAATGTAATCCATCTAAATTTAGTCAATCATCTTTCGAACTCTGACCTTGGAGGGGAAAAACTGGAGGCCGTTTCTTGGTGACACCAGACAGCTCTTTGCTGTGCGCTTCATTATTTCAGTGAGTTTAGGTCAGAGGAGGGACAGGCTCCCCGCAAAAGGGCACTTGTCCAGTTTTTACTGTCACCATAATAAATCTGAATGACCTCAAAAACGACTCTGCCGAAAAGTGACTCATTGGCGCCACAGGGGGGCAGTACAACATCACATATGAGTCCTGCGCCGAATGCTCGTCCCTGACAGACTTGTTCCAAACAGTGTTGAGGGTGAGAACAATCCATTCCCAAAACCCATCCAGCGGGTCATGAGAAGTCGCTGTTTGTTTAAGTGTTTGCTCCAATATCGCAGGTTTGATGTCAGCCGCCGCGCTTCGGTCCACTTTATTGGGGGTATTGACAGACACCGGGCCTGTCTGGGATGCACACTATTTATGGCCGTGCTCGGGTTTCTGCCTGTGGCCTCGTAAAGGAATGAAGAATATCTATGCGGGAGGATGGGTGTGGGGATCAGCAGAGGAACCAAGATGTCTATTCTCATTAACCTCCATGGCGGCCTTTTTTTTCTTCTTCACATCGCAAAGCCTTCCTGTATCCAAAGTGGAGCACTTGGAGTGGAAGAGATGACGTGAGAAACCCATCGGGTCACCTAACCCACCTTTCAATTTCAAGTGGAAAGCGTGAAGAAGAAAGCTTAGGTTCAATGCCATCTCCTCTGTGTGGTCCCAGCAATTCGTCGGCGTGGCAGACGGGCGCCTCTGTGAACCGGCGCCCGTTGACGCGTCAGGACAGAAGAGCTGATTGTAAGAAAGGGCCGAGGTGTAATCACCGCGGTGGAAGCTGTGAGTAAAGTCATTATCGCGTTTGAGCTGTAATTCACACTTTGGAATTAGGAGTTGTTTTAGCGTGTTGTGATTTCATAATGTGATATATCTCACTACAGCTGCTTGGTTTGACTGTTTGTGCCCTATTTTAGGTTTGTTTGACATCTTCACTGCCCCTGCAGTGCTATTCTGAATATTCTGCTCAGTGCACACCAACATGTGTTGGCTGTATTTCTTTAATTATAGCGCAAAGGTCATTATTCTTTGCGTTTTACAATGTGACCATTGGCATAATTTAAATAAACTCAAAAGAAAAACGTGTTTCACAGCTGATCTTTTACGATTACATCGTGGCTGCTTTTCCAGGCGTCCCACCTGCACAAAGGAGATCAGCGTCTCTCAGAGGGATAAATACATGAATATCGATTCAGGAGGAAGAAATATGCCTCAAGTTGTCAGCAGATATTCCTTAATGTTTTCCCCACCTCTGGGTGAAGGTTATTGGGGGAACAATCCCAAAGGAGATCCTATAACCACAGTTCTCTGATACCAGACACGCCAAGAAGACGTTTTCCCTTTCCACAACCTATGGAATGAGACCAATAATAAGAGTAAAACCCTGAAACCGATACATGCTGTTCAACGTGAAGGATGCGGATGGCTCCGTAACACTTACAAATGTGACAGGAAGTATTAGAAAGCAAATTGCATTTCAATTTGCTTAATCTCGCACTTTCAAGCCTGTGTTCACGTCATATGATGTGGTTTTCTCTGACACCACCTGGCCCCTCTGAGGATGGACAGATGAGTTAAGTGCTGTGGGCCGTTGGATCCATTAGCTGCCTCACTTTAAGATAAAAAGCCTCAGATCCCCATTGTGACACACAGGTTCAGTAGACACAACCACGGGCCGGTGCAAACTGGTTGTATTATGTTTTATCAAGTTGCTGGTGTTTTTTCCCCTCTTCACGCACACTTGACACAGTTCATCTGCTTCTGTTTGTTATGCCTGAAAAACCGGATAAGCTACTTGACAGCAAAGTAAGCTAAGAGAGAAGCGCACTGACAGGAAAGTCTGGAGCTGTCCAGCGTCCTGAATTTAAATGCAGCGCATCTGGCCCTGTCCATGGTGCTGAAAGTAGGATATTTACTTTAGTTTATTGTTTGGTTTGTTTTATTCCATAGCTGAGTCCCGCTTCTACGCCTGTGAGTAACATGGTCTCAGCTCAAAGTCATGCAGGCACAGGTCTAGAAAAACGGTCATAGGGGAAGGATCGTGCCATAGAAATAAGATAAATGCCATGTTTCAGTCTTATAATTTGTTCTATTTGTAATTGGCGAGTTTTTAAAGGAGGGTTGGTCGTGCAATCCTGGCAACAAGAAAACAAGGAGGACATCTGAACGCCTCGGATACTCCTCGCATTGGGTCGTTAGCAGGCATCGACCTCCTTAACGACTGCAAATACAGCGCAAAGCAATCAATCGCCATCAACACACTAGAATATTCTAGGGATGGAATAATTGATAGGCTGTCTCCTGGTGCGAAACGGAGAAGCGGCGGTGATTAAATTCTGTTTAACATCGCGGTGGGAGGGGGTTAGATTTACACCGGCCGCGCGTATTAGCCGAGGACAAGCCCAAGTATTGATATCCAGACACCATCGGTAACATGACCGAAGTGTGGTGGCGAGGTGGACTATTGTCTGATGAGCAGGGGCCACATAGCACTCATCGAACAGGACCCGGACCCCTCCTCAACCCAACGCTCCCAAGTTCAAGTATGTCTGTCAGGACTTTCACTAGCGAAGACCCTAACAATTTGATTAAACACCAACAATATCCAATGTAAAATGTGAGAATGAAACGGTGCCCGAAAATACTGCAACCTCTTGTACTTTTTTAGATGACCATAAACCATAACACGAACTAATAAAAAAAAAAAACCAAGCATCCCACAATGACAATACATGACCTGTTAAGATATCTACCCCCCAAACATTTTCTACTTGTAAACTACATGACATCAGTGAGAGAGAGGGGGTGTGCGTGGGAGCTGGTGAACAGGGCGGGCACTGTTGCGCGTGTCCTGAATGGGGAAGACAGGCTCGCATCCCATTTCTCGTGTCCAATCGATCCCTGCTCGGGAGGAGCGACGGGAGCGCAACTATCACTCCGGCATCACCATCAGTAGCTCTCCGGCGACTTTAACGCCTCCGCGTGACAGTCACGCGCAGAGGGGATGAACTTGTGTGGAGTGGTCGCGAGAGACATCAGCCCGGTGTCTCTTTGGGGGAATTACGCACTTTTGACGACTTTCTCCCCTGTGTGGTTTTGAGATGGGACGCGGCACGACGATGGCGCACTGGAGCACATCGCTATTGCGCGAGTTCTGTTTCCTCACCCGGCTCCGGAGGGCTGCTGATCTGGCGCTGCAGTAGCCCCCCCATCGCCCCTGCATCGGTGTGTCTGCGCGCGGGCTGCGGGAACTAGACGGGAGGCTCAGAAGGATTGACCCGCTCAGTGGAAACACCGGGGAGTTGAAGCGGAAAGTGGCAAAGCGCTCAACTATATCACCTGGATCCTTTACAACACCCCGCGATCATGACATCGAGTTTATAGATTTGGGTAAGAGGGTGCTTTTTAATTTCAATTCAATCAAAATTTACATGTTAATTTCGTGGCGCACGGCCAACAGGCTGTTCAGAGGGGTACTTTGGCTTTCGATATGTGGAACTTTTTATTCGTGCAGCAAAGAGAGGGGGGGGGGGGGGTGTGTGTATGTGTGTGTGTGTGTGTGTGTGTGTGTGTGTGTGTGTGTGTGTGTGTGTATGTGTGTGTGTGGGGGGGGGGGGTCTGACTCACTCCAGCTGAAACCAACTTTGATGTTCTTGTCAGCGCGCAGCAGCACACGCCTTTGCCGAGAGGCGATTTTTTTCAGGATTCCCCAACAAAACCTTCTGCGATCTCAAATTGACTCCTGCGGCGCGTGATGGCCATGCGTAAAAATGGACCACCCGATGAGCCGATTAAAACGTCTGTCCATTCCCGCTGAGCGTGTAGCGCGCGCCGTCGGATGGGGATTGATGCGGTGCTTTTGCAGGTTTGAGGTTAAATAAGCAATCGGTCGAAGCTCGGCGCTGCTCAGTACCTATTGAGTGATCTCCGAGGCGGATCCGCTGACTGGGTTCCTTTCGTGCCTCTCTAATCGCTTTTCATGGATCCTGACCGGCTGGGAATGGAGAGCAGAGCGCGTGGAGCTCAGACATATGGGGTTGGAATGTGGTGCCGCCGGGGTCTCCGGGATTGCGCACGGAGGCATAGAGGTGTGTGACAACATGAACGAACACTATTTTGCTCACACGCACACGCACGCTCTCCCCACCCTCTCTCTCTCACTCTCTCTATCTCTCTCTCACACTTATGCGCGCACACAAGCTGAAGGGGTTGTGTGTGTGATGGGGGAGGGGGGGTGTACTTGGTGCATCTTAATAGGCGCAGTAATGAGAGCCAACCCCATCCTGTTGTAATTGTTAGTCATCCTTGTCTCAACCCCTCCCTCTCCCATCCTCTCGTAACATCCCTCTCCATTCGCTTACACCTCTCGTTGTCCCGCTGCTCAACTCTGCAATTTGTACAGTAAAGAGTGCAGTTATTTCCCCATTGTTTTTGGCGCGTGGCACTGGCAGAAAATGGTGCCATTAGTGTGACAGGGCGGACCGAGGAGGGGAGAGGAGGAGAGGGGAGGGAGAGGAGAGAGAGGAGGAGGGAGAGGAGAGAGAGGAGGAGAGGAGAGCCGGGTGGAGAGGATCGGTCCAGGGACTTAATTCTCATTGACAGTCACATTAACACAGGAACAGCACTCTTAATCCTGGGGAGATTACTCTTTCCAACCGGACCCCCTGCCACACACACACACACACACGCACACGCACACGCACACGCACACACACACACACACACACACACACACACACACACACACACACACACACACACACACACACACACACACACACACACCTGTACGAGAGTGGCAGTCTGTTGTTTGGCGTCCACACTGGATTTCTCTGTATTTGTCACCCTTTTCCATCTCACACCCCACCACCCTCCCACTGCACTTTCTGCAGACCCCCTTCCCGCCAACACACACGCACAAATTCACACATTTGGGAATTACTCTTTAATCCTCCGTGCACCCCTGAATGCCTCCCCACCTCACTGCCATTCGTCTCTACATGTCTCAACGGTGTCCTATACTCACCCCACAGAGGGCCGTTTGGGATGACTGCATGGGAATGCGGGGGGGAAATGGATTGTGTGCATTTGTGAACGTGCATGAGGACACGGCCAAGCAGAGAGGCGATGGACGGCAGAGAGGAGACCGGAGAGCAGGGGAGGCGAGAGAAATGAGCTGGAGAGACAGAAAAAATATTTGTGAGAGACGAGGCAAAGGAGAAAGAGAGAGCGCGTCGGTCTGTGTTTAAAGAAGGGACCTTGTGAATCTATGTGTGCTAGATTGTGTGTGAGGGAGAGAAGGAGAGAGAGAGCCGTTCTGGGCGATCTGCTGGATGAATAAACCAGCATCAGGCTTGTAGGACTGATGAGGTGACAGCAGCATGACAGATTGGAGATCACCTCCACGCACACACACACACACACACACACACACGCTGGCATTAACAGGTTGACTGGGATGAATGGATATTTCCCAACTGAGGGGAGGGTGGAGGAGCGGCCTGCTTTCATGTCATGGACAGAAAGATGGAAAAAGGCGTCCCATTTGTAAATGACAGTGTCCTGGACAGCTTTTCATCTCTGAGTGCATTGAGTCAGAGATCATGAACAGGCTTCAAGCAGCGGACAGTAACCTCTTCACTCATGAAATCGGGTTCAGAGAAAATGTGCCCATGCAGGGTATGATATCTCTTCTCGGAAAGGTGATACATGACTCTAATGGAGAAACAAGTGATGTTAGATCAATTGATTGTGAGTGTGGTGTGTATCTGTTTCTTGTTTCAATCATAAAACCGCAGTTGGATAGAGATAGAGGTCACCACCATACGAAAAAAAAAAAGGTAAATGTACAGATGTTGCTTACAGTGGTAACGTATGAGAACGCCACACCAAGTCTAGGCCTCCAGAAATGAAGAAAATCCTTTCCCACCTCCTCCAGCCTGATCTCCAAAACCTGTTCGTAAAAATGTATACGAAAATCTTGAACATACAAATTCGTAGTGATACATACGAAATAAATACGGACTGCAACTGATGACGTCACCCTATTCATAGTGAACGGGGACCTGCACCCTGTAAACACACTTTGTGAAGTCTAACCATGTAAAATAAACGTGTTATGATTGCATTTTTAACGAGAAATCAACGTTAACTTGTAAGAATAGAATACTAACCCTAACCCCCTCAAAAAATCCAACATGGCGGAGAGACGTTCACTCAAGAATCCAACATGGCTCGCCATGTTGTTCACTCAAGGGGCGTGGTTAACCACCGCCAGTTCGTATGTATTGTTACGAATTTGTGTGTTCAAGATTTTTGTATACATATTTACGAACAGGTTTTGGAGATCACGTTGCCTCCTCGGCTACATTGTTGCACGTCAGCAATTAATTGACAACTTGCAGCGTGGAAATGACAAATTCATGGGTTGATGAAAACATCACTGTTGGCCAAATATAAATGTAATCGTAGACACAATTGCAACAGCTATCCGTCAATATTTGACATACAATTGCAATCGTCCTTTTTTCATTATCACAACCGTCGCTGCAGGAACATCGTGCACCAAACAATATGAGCGCAATCGAGTAACTACATATAAGGTCATAGTTTACCCACATGACCGCGCACGTCAATATAAATGACTAACGGTTGATCCATCCTAAAAGCGATCTCTGGTGTCCTTTAAGCAAAGGCGTGGTGATGACGACTTTGGCCTTTACTTTCACTCAGCAATCATTTTGTAAGAGCAGGGGAGGTCTCATGTCGCAGCGCCACAGCTGTGTGTGTGTTCCTTGTCTTCCATTCTCCCCCCTGTCAGTAAGTCATCAGTGAGAGCAAGGCCCCCCGCCGTCACACCCTCCCTAATGAAGTTGAAAGCAGCTGATTGTTTGCGAGTTTGTGGATTGAAGAGTCCATCATATCCCGTTGGGGATATTGTTTTTTTTCTCACCATTTCAATCATAATTTTTGTACTAATTCATTTGTAATTCAATATTAGTTTTTTTTTAATCGAAAGAGAGTTTTGGGGACACCTTGGCCTTTTTGCGAAAAAAATGAGAAAATGACACCACTTCTCTGGGCTCAAGGTGATTGCTCCACAGCTCCAACTCACTCTGACCATGACAAATCTCCCAAAGTGGTGGTAATGATTGTAATTGAACAGGCACAGTTCCTTCCCACGGTGCTCCATCCATCACCTTGGATGTGATCTGCTGTGTGTGTACGTATCCACGTGTGTCAGTCTGTTCGCGGCCCTCTGGCTGCTGGCAGATGCGCTGGTAACCGTGAGCGACAGTGTTAGTGTATTTGCGGGATTATGAAAAGCTCCCAGCATGCTCTGCAGCGCGGGTCCACTGTGAAGTCGTAGAGGGGAAGTGGTGCCGTGGTGGCAGAGCCCGGGGCGGTCATGACAGCAGCCCCCAAACAGCGCTGCGCCTGTAGGCCATGAAGTTTGGGAGGGGGGGGGGAGTAAACAACAAATAGGAAGTCAGGGCCTGTGTGCATTAGCTGAGGTGGATTGAATGGGTAGTCAGGACTGAAGGGAAATCTGTCAAAGCAGTGAGTGAGTGTGTGTCATTGTGTATGTCAGTGCACACATTTTATGTTTGTGAGTGAGCGTGTGTGTGTATGTGTGTGTGTGTGTGTGTGTGTGTGTGCTAGAGGTGATGGCTCTGTAATAAAAACAGCAGGCAGCCAGTGGTCGAGGGTCCCTCTGGGTGTCCGACTGATGTCAGTCACCAGCACACGATAGACTCCCTTGAGGACGGCTGCTCGGATGAGGAGGAATTACAATTGTGTGTGTGTGTGTTTTTGTCTTGCTATCTTTAAATTGTATTTTAATTTATGTTGTTGAAGGTCAATTGTTGTTTGTTTATGTATCACAGTGCAGGGATAAAAATGACTTCACATGGTCATATTATTGAGACTCACCTCCCCAAACGGAAAATCCAGATGTTTTGGTTTAGACTCTTTTTTTTCTTTCGGGTGGCCCGAGGTTTATGCATGCCGTAGTTCTGAATAAGGTTGGTAGGTCTCCTTCCTCAATGTCAGTCAATGCAATATTCTTCTTAATGATTAAAAAAAGGTTGTGCGTGTGGTGAGAATACGCATCTACCAGCAAGGGAACATCCGGATTTTGTTTTTGCGGTTCCCGATGTCCATGTGCGATCCTTGAACGGAACTCTTTTGTGTGTGGATGTGTGTTGTGTGTGTGTGTGTGTGTGTGTGTGTGTGCGTGTGACAGAGAGAGGGTTAAAGGCCCTGCTTGTCTCAGGGGAGCAGAGTGATCCGGTGTCATGCTCCGGAGACCCACAGACAAATTAATTCACTTATTGACACTGCTGACACGTCTCAGTGACTTTGTAAAATGAACAATTGATCAGTCTTCC